ACAGGGGAAACTGAGGCACAGGGGTGCTTCTGGAGGGTCCCAGTCATGCCCATGGGCCATCAGATGGGGGAAACTGAGGCACTGGGGTGCTTGTGGGGTGCCTGGGGGGTCCCGGTCCGTTCCTGTCGGGCCTGAGATGGGGGATTCTGATGTACGGGGGGTCCTCATGGGGTGCCCGGGGAGTCCCAATCCATCCCTGTGAGGCCTCAGACAGGGGAAACCGAGGCACAGGGGTGCTCATGGGGTGTCTGGGGGGTCCCATCCCATCCCTGTGGGGCCTCAGATAGGGGAAACTGAGGCACAGGGGTGGTCGTGGGGTGCTTGGGGGGTCCCAGTCTTCCCCATGGGGCCTCAGACAGGGGAAACCGAGGCGCGGGGGTGCTCATGGGGTACCTGTGGGGCCTCAGATGGGGTAAACTGAGGCACAGGGGGGCTAATGAGGTGTCTGAGGGGTCCTACTCCATCCCCATGGGGCTTCAGGTGGGGGAAACTGAGGCACAGGAGTGCACGGGGGGGTCCCAGTCCATCCCCGTAGGGCCTCAGGTGGGGGAAACTGAGGCACAGGGGTGCTCCTGGAGTGTCCGGGTGGTCCCAGTCCCTCTCCATGATGCATCAGATGGGGGAAACTGAGGCACAGGGGTGCATGGGGGGGTCCCAGTCCATCACCATGGAGCCTCAGATGGGGGAATCTGAGGTACGGGGGTGCTTATGGGGTGCCTAGGGGGTCCCAATCCATCCCCGTGGGGCCTCAGATAGGGGAAACTGAGCCCCAGGGGGTCCCAATCCATTCCCACAGGGCTTCAGACAGGGGAAACTGAGGCACAGGGGCGCTCGTGGGGTGCCTGTGGGGCCTCAGATGGGGTAAACTGAGGCACAGGGGTGCTGGTGGGGTGCACAGGGAGTCCCAATCCATCCCCGTGGGGCCTCAGATGGGGGAAACTGAGGCACGGAGGCAGCCGGGTGAGCTCCAGCACTGTTTTGGGGTGACCATTCCCCATGGCACGCCCCAGAAAACCCCCTCCAACACCCGACTGAGGGGGAACCGCACTCGGGGGTGGTGGTGTGTGATCACAAACCCCTTCCCCTGACCACCCCCCTCTCTCCCTTCTTTGTCCCGCAGGTCCCCTTCGGAGAAGCCTGGCACGTACGGGAATGGCTGCGGGTCGTCGGGGGGGTGCAAAAGCCGCCCTCGGAGCACCCCAAACGCCCGGTGCTGGGCCTGAGCTGCCGACGGGCCGAGGTGAGCGGCGCCCGTTTTTGGGGACTGGTACGGACCCTCTGCCCCGATCCCCACCTCTTCTTCCGTCACTGCTTCGTTCACAACCACTGTCCCCTCCTCTTCCTCGCCTCCAGCGGTCGGAATTTGCCCCCCACCGAGCTGCCCCCCGCCGCGCGCGACCGGTTGATGGGACTCTGCGACCGGGCGCTGGCGCGAAC